TTCCAAAACTTTGGGAAAAATATTACATTTCCATAACTTTTCCAGGGCCTGGAATTAGCATTTTGAATTTCCATGACTTATCCAGGTTTTTAATGACCGTAAGAACCCTGGAATATACACTAAACTACTTAACCCTTGTAGGAATGAAGCATTAACACATTATATTAAAAACTGCAATAAAGTATGAAGAAAATAAAGTAAAAATGTTCCAAAAACATCAGACTGTTTCTGCTTCTCGTCTCTTGTCTTTTTATTTTCATCACAACATCATACAAACATCGACAGTGTTCGATATAAACAGACGACTCGTGCCTTCAGAGTTTTCTGATAAAAAGTGATTTTAATCTGCTTCTTGTTTTGTTTTGTGACACAAACAGTGAAAGGCTCAGAACCGGGCGCTCACTTTGAATCAAAATATACATCAGATATAAAACCACCATCAGCTCTGACACGTCACTGTGGTATAAAACACGTATGTACAGCTCAACACCCCGCCCTCCTCCTCCTCCTCCTCTCACCCGCCTCACCCCACACTGAGGCCGTGATGCATTCAAGGCCCCTGGGAAATAACTGTGAATGTGGTGTGTATCCGTCAGAAAATACAGGACTTAATGCCATTGTGTCATTCATTTTTCTGGCAGACACACTAAAAGGAATTTCTGAAAGAATTAACAAAACTATTATTTACATCCAGCAGGTTTCCATTGGTCCACTGGGAGAAAACAGCTGCTCACATCATTAGTTTTGATGTGATGGTGTGTGTGTGAATGTTTAAGCTCCTCCACACTGTGTGAAAATGATCTTACACACTCACTGGGAATGTAACGGGCAGATCTTTTCTGAAACATAGTATTTGTGACATGCATTAAGGCCATTGAAGGAAAGAAAAAATCCATTATGGAAACCAGAATGGGGTAATATTCAAGAAAAATACTAAATACTACGTTAACATGCACACTTACATGCAGTTTGAAAACATGCCATTTACAGTTGATATTATGTATTGATATTTGGAGCCTTAATTGGCTCAGCAGCTCAGCCTCTAGACTTGGGAACTGAAAAGTTGCTGGTTCAATGTTTTGCTGCCGTGACTTAGCCAAAAATATGAGTTTCATAAATTGGTTTGATTTAATTTGGTTCATTCAAAGTTGAACGATTGAAACAAAGTTCATTATTTTCTATCATTTCATTTTTTCATGCATTGGTGTATGTGTACGTTTTCAAAGTATTAAAGAATTGTATATCAACACATTTTAAGGATCAACAACCGGTGGGAAAAGTTGGAAAAAACATTTGAGTTATTAGGAAAATGCACAGCTGCATGCTAAGTGGAAAAAGTTAAACATTTATATACAATATTCATGCTAACGGTCTACTAGGGAAGGGTCTTTCATCCAGAAAAAGGGCTTAAATTATATTATTTTGTGCGTATAAACGTAGTCAGTTTAACTCTTGTATGAGAACCTTCTCTGAACCTCTGGAATGAGTCCGGACTTCTGTTCAGTAACTGTTTAAAAGCTCAGCTACTGAAACCTCCCAGGGGCCTTGAATGCATCACGCCTCAGGGGAAACCTTCAGGGGAAACGGGGAATCTTCGTCACGAGCAGCTGGAATGTCGACGTAATAATATTAAGACACACAGATAAACCAAACCAGCACCTTCTAGTTTCAGCACATTTGTGACGACCGTGGGGTTTTCTTCTCCGTCAAACTTTCATCTCGGAGTAAAAGAGGAATTAATACCTGATGTCCGACTCGGCGCTGCGTTTGAAGGCACTCACACGTTACATCTGGGTTCGCAATAGAGATCCAGTGAAGCGGTCGAGAAATGAATAAAAACCTCCCACAGGAAAACACCACCAAAGCCCAAACCAGTTCACAATCTTCCATCTTTGTGTGTTATTTTTCTTAAGTCCTTAAAACCAGAAACCTGAGGCAGGCGGATTTGTTGCATCTAAAAAAGGCCGTTTTTGGTTTCAGCTGTAGTGGATCACAAACGTATAAATAAAACCGTTCAGAGGCGAAGCGAGAAGACGAGACAAGCGAACACGTCGCGACTCACAAACCCGACAGAAACAAAGCGACATTCGTCAGATTGTAAAAAGGCAGCAGGAGAAGAACCGCCGAGCCAGCAACAAAAAGAAAAACCAACAAGTAAAAGTTCAGGAATGATTAAAATATTGCTACAATATTTGATTTTGAATAAAACGTGATTGCATACATGGAAATAAAGAAATCAAAAAGGAATAGAGGAAAAAAAAGAGTATCTAAAAAAAACCCGCTACAACAGAATCCGTTCACATGTTCGACGCTACAGTAACCAGCAGTACAAAACACTAACATAAAGAAAAACACCAATAAAATACACATAAAATAAGGATATATCTGTAATACATTAACAGTAAACCTTTATCAACTGTAAACCTGCACTTTGCCAATTTACAGAGGCATGATGGGAGATTTTTTTTTTTAACATGTCAAAGTCGATTCTGACTCCAGGAATAAGGCACAGGGATCATATTAAGGTCAAACTAAGCCTTCCTTAACGAGGCCTTCCTTAACGAGGCCTTCCTTAACGGGGCCTTCCTTAACGAGGCCTTCCTTAACGAGGCCTTCCTTAACGAGGCCTTCCTTAACGAGGCCTTCCTTAACGAGGCCTTCCTTAACGAGGCCTTCCTAAACGCGGCCGGACTAGATTCTGACGGCTTGTGGGTAAATTCTCGACTTCCCAAACGTTGTCAGAGCAGATAATTTAAAAGATAGAAGCGTTACTTTAGAAGGGGGAAACTTTAGAGAAGAGGATTAGGAACATCTAAGGACAATTTGAAATCTGAGATTTAAGGTAGAATTCTGAGTTTTTTAAGTCGGGAAGTCAGCGTTGAGGAGAAAAAACTTTAATACCTTAATTTCAGGATTAAAGTCTAAAAGGCAAGAGTGGCTAATGGTTAAAAACTTCCCAACAAGGGCACTAATAACTCGATTATAATCAAAATCCTGACTATAATCGGAACACATCTGTTTATTTCTGACAAACTCAGAATTCTGACTTCATTCCCCGACGTCCGAGATAAAAATCCAGAATTCTGACTTCCTCCCAAACTCCATTTTTCTTCTTAAATTGCCCCCTAATCCTCTTTGAAGGCAAAGAACCTAAAAATGAGTTTTAAAAAAATAATTTAACATCACACCAGACTTCACGGTGGTTTCTTGCAGACGTGCGTAGGAATGATGGGAGTGTAGTGGACACGGTTCAGACGCTCTGAGGCTCAGATGGAGGATTTGGAGAAGGAGACTCGGAGGTGGTGGTTTTCTCCCAGGTCGTGGTTGTGGAACTCGATCAGGGACTCGATGGCTTCCTCCACCGAGCCCATCTGGATCAGAGCCATCTTGTGGTCCTTCCTGAAGGAGAAACACAACAGACGAGAGTTAGTTTTTATAGGGTGGGACAACCGCAGGAAAATAGGAACGAGAAAAGATAGGAGAAAACAAAAAGGATGAGAATATAAGAATAAAAAAATATATATTTTCTGACTTTTTTCCGAAAATCTCCAAATTCTGACTTTTCTCCAAATTCTGAAATTGTTCTTATAATTTTGACAACCGAAAGGAATATAGGAACGAGAAAAGACACTTGAAAACAAAACAGAATGAGAATTAAAAAAATATCTATTTTCTGAAAATCTTAAAATTCTGACTTTTTTCTTAAAATCTCAAAATTCTGACTTTTTGTCAAGTCGGATTTTTCTCTCAAAGTTCTGACATTTTTCTTAAAAATTTGACAACCGCAGCAATATAGGAACAAGAAAAGACACTTGAAAACAAAAAAGCATGAGAATTTAAGAATAAAAAAAAAAAATCTATCGGAAAATTCAGATATTTTGTCAAAATCTCAAAATTCCGATTTTTCTCCAAATTCTGACATTTTTCTTACAAATTTGACAACCGCAGGAATATAGGAACGAGTAAAGACACGTCAAAAAACGAGAAATCCAGACGTGTATACGGGTTTCGGGAAAGGACGTTTGACTTTAAGATAAAGGACAGCGGTTCTAGAGTTCCAGTGTTGTAAAATAACTAGGGCCGGGACTTTAACGCGTTAATTAAGATTAATTAATTACACAAAAATTAACGCGTTAAAAAAATTAACGCATTTTAATCGCACTTATTTTTGCACCGCGGAACGTTTCTCACTGGATGAGTTTCAGGGGTACCGATTATAATGGAGCACCAACTAACGTTCATTACTTCAGACAACAACAAACCACAGTGAACAATAGTCAAACGTGAACGAAGAAGCTGATGAGACCGCTTTGGTTGGCCCCGTGGATGGGACATTTTGTTTTAAAAAACGGACGGATGAAAGCGTCAATAAGAGCACGGTTGTTTGCAAATTATGCAAAAAGGAATTCGCATATCACCGCAGCACATCAAGCCTCAAGTATCACCTCAATGCAAAACATATAGCAGCTAGCGTGGAAGCTAGCGTTGACGTTAGCCCGACTCGGATTACAAGGACCCACACCCAATTCGCGTTGATCAAACAGTGGCCTATGCAACAGAGAGATTTTATTTTTCATCAGGATATTGGAAGAATAGGAGGGATTGAGGTCAATCACTGGCACTTTTTTATTTTATTTTAAATGGTACACTTTATGTTGAACTATTTATTATGTTGTTGGTGCAACTGGCACTTTATGTTGAACTATTTATTACGTTGTTGTT